ACTGTTTGTTGTGAGACCGTATATCCATTCTCCATAATGAGGTCAGTCAAGACTGACATCACGACCACTGACGGGTGAAGTGAAAGACATTGATTACCCTGTTATCAAAGCGCCTGTCAGTGGGTCATAGTCGTCAAATGAACATTTTGTTGTCCAGATTTGACAGGTACCAGGATTTAAGAAAAGATGACAAGGGCTGAACTGTGATTGGTAGAGAAAGAGAGAGAGAGAGCGAGGGGGGGGGTTAGAGTGAAGGGTAGTCCAGCCACGCTGCTGTAGCTCATACGGCTGGTAGTTATTGCTAAAGAAAAGTTTCAGAGTGCATTAAAGTTTGTTGCATATAAGGCAGATCAGCCCAGGTGTCCACGATGACCCCTGTCTGCAGCCTGAAGCCTCAGGAAAGGGCAGTGAATGTTAGTACTGGACCACAGAGTCAAAAGAATATCTTGGTCTTATCTGGTTGACCAAGGATGAAAGAAGTCAAGTCTGTGGAGAGAGGTGAAAAAAATCAACTGACGGCCCGTGGACCGAATCCGGCCCTGCGAACCTTCCAATCCACCCGACTGATACCACATCACACCTATGGCGTTCTTGTGGTGCGTATGCCTTGATTAGTCACAGCTGATCCAGCAGGTAGAGAGGAGTACTACGCAGTATTAGGCAGGTGTACATGTGTGTCTGTTGTATGTTTAAAATTGCTATTCATCTAATACACCATGAAGATACATCAGCACACCAGTGTGTACATGAACTTTTCAATCGATACTCGAGACCGTTTGAGAAGTACAATGATATGGAGGAGGAGAATGAGTCATAATAGAGAAAGAGATTTCTACTCACTGTAAAATGTTAGACTGAAGGACAGGACAAAGACACTATTTATTGCTGCACAAGAACACGCACTCTGTAAAAGATTTATAGACACCAAAGCCTCCCCCTAACAGAGACGGATTGTGGGATAAGCAAAGATGCCCCTGAAAACTCCAGTACATAATACGGTACAGTGACACCTCTGCAAAGTATGGCCTTGAAGTCCCAAGGTCAGACATGAAAACATGTCCTAAGGGGATGGAAAAATGGCCGTTCAAATCTAATGTGGGCCTTTTAAATACACAACAGGAAATCACTGACAAAAACAGAGAACCTGAAAATCTGGACGGAAGCAAAACCTGCAGTGGTGACGTGTGAAAAGAAGAGCGTGAGACATTATTTGGAGAGTGTCCTCAGAACGATTTATATACAGACCAATGTCCACAAATGGACAGTCCTAATAAATGTTAGAAGAATCTTTAAAGCCAGAGGCAACAGAAGGCAGAATAAAGCCAGTGGACTTCAGTGCAGGGGTCGAAGTTCGATACGTGCTCAGGGTTCACGGTCGCACCATCCGCCTGAATTTGCTGTGGGCTGAAGTATAAATGATTCATGAGGAATCTACACTGAGAATACACTGGTTAGACTGAGTAAACACTGGTAAGGTTTTGTAGTTCTTACTACTCTTTGATAATGAAACAATGACGATTTTACTCCAGGAATATAAATCAGCTTCATTTGTGCATGAAACACTGGATAATTAATTGATGCTAAAATGAGTGATTGGACGAGAGAGATAACAATCCTTAATCAGTCTTTTGGTTTCTGATACAAGGCCGACGACGGCAGCTGCTCTGTAGTCATTCGAAACTTTCATGACTGCGTAGAATTGACACGTCACGATTATATATATATTGTTCTACTTGATATCTGCAGAATGACTAACTCAACAAGCTAGGCATCAACGTTGTGCTAATAGGAACTAGGTGACTCGGTCCGATACCCAGGATCAGTACTGGACCAATATTGACCAAAATTTCAGGACCGAACATCGATAGAACGTCTGATCTCAACCACTGCTGTACATTGTTGCATGCAAGAGGAGACAAGAAGGTATTGGATTAATATCTGTATGAGCAGGTACTCAGCAAGTTGCAGTATCGGCATCGGACATGATGATCCTGACTGCTTCAGACTCTATGCTGCTGGATTATTTTGTAATCTCATTAGTAAGGACGACCTGTGGCGACATGCCCTCCTATAATGCCACAGTAAATTTAGACTTCTATTTCACTTCAGGGTCTCATTGACAATAGGAGTGAGTGTTACATCTGGAGTTCATGGGCAGCATGGTTATGGTTGACACAGACTTTGGCCAAGTCAGTCTAAGTTTCTTTGGTTCTTCCTGCAGGAGAGAACAGGTAGAACTTTACCTCGTTCCTAAAACATTACCTGACTCTAACGTGGAAGATTGATGAAGTAATCGAGTACACGGTGTGTACCCGTATCATCATATCCACAAGACAAACAACTATCGTGCTGTACCTGATCTTTTCTCAGTTTCCAGCCTCTATAATTATTTTTAATCATTTTAATCTCAACTCCTACAACAACCTGAACCATTGTTAAAGTTGTCACCGCCTGGAATTAAACTTCATGGAAACTTCTTTGTGCTTCGTGACTGGTGATAAAGGCTCGCTCCAAAATGTCACTTAGTTTGTGATGGATTTTCAGGAGCAGTAATTTGGGTGCCTGAGCTTTGAAGCATTACAGTCATATTCTCTGCCACTACAATACTAGGCTGAACATAAAATGCATGAAGACGCATCTTTAACTCTTTCCATCCATCCATCCATCCATCCATCCATCCATCCATCAACTGCTTATTCCTTTGCAGTGTTGCAGTAGAGCACTAGAGCCAATCCCAGCTATCGACAGGCGAGGGCGGGACACAACCTGGACAGTTTGACTCCATTGCAGAGCCACATACAGAGACCATTCAAACTAACATTAATACCTGCAGTCAATGTAATGTGCGATCAACCTAATCACCTCAGCATGTTTTTAATGCTGTGTGAGGAAAATATCCCAAAAAAAAAAAAAAACAACTCATGGGATGATTCACTATTTATCATGATTAATTAAAATCACTATTTATCATGATTAATGATTATCAATCTGCACCCCATGGCCCGACCCATGATTAATCAGATAACAAATATTAACCAATTAACAATTCTGGTTTATTAAAAAAAAAATTCAAACGTTATCTTTATACTACTTGTGTACCTGTACTTGTGTACCACAGAAGTATGATGTTTATCCTACAGCAGTGTGGATCCTTGCTGGCTGGCTCTGTGGATGTCGGCTGAATTTATTGCTATCTTCAATCAGAGCTTCATCCACTTTTCTAATGCCTTCATTGGATTTATTAACATGGTCGTTTATCTTCATCACTTCTCGTACAGTAATTACACATTAGTTTAGTCCAAAGGAGAAGTCACACCCTGGCTATTTGTATGTGTTGGTTTTTGCCTCTCAGATGGATGATGAATGGGGGTCACCTCCCCTCCGTTACAGAACAGCTCTCTCTAAAACAAAAATATGAGGAATTCTGTCCAAGTGTCTTTCCTTTAGTTTCAAATGCATTAGCTTCTGCCTCAGCGGTTTCAATTGTAATTCAAGTCACTTTAGTGGTGTTAACAAAAATGATACTGTTGCCAAACATTCACTGTTACAACTCCTATTAACGTCTCCACAGAGAATCTGAGGCTGAAGTTAGAGACGGAGCCTCAGGCAGAGTGCTTGGAAAACTTGTAGGACTGTAATCATTGTAATTGTGTGAGACTACATTCATCTATTACTACTACAGCGTAAACACACCCTGTGCGATAATGCTGCACAATGGTTCTGTTGGACTATTTGTAGAAAAAATTACTGAAAGTGTCCACGGTTGTAGTTAAAGAGTCTTTGGGACTGACTGAGATGAGGGCGAACGATGACCTTCAGCAGTGAGAGCTGTTTGTTTAACGGAACATGGGTTGACTGAGAATACTCACTGTGGTTCAGATGTATTGAATGCATGACGTATAAAGACAGTTGTTAATCAGCAAACAGAGAAAAGGGGTGTGTTTGGGGCGACACGATACGTATCACGATACAGAGACAACGATGCGATAAATACTGCAGTACTTTAGCCACGCTGATATATTGAGTTTTTTAAAGCTATTTGACTGTAGGCCAACTGTCAGCACAGTGAACACACAGGGATCTACATTTGTAATCACTAGAGAAGAAATAAAAGCAAATTACAATGAACCAACGCCATCATTTATCTGCAAATTGATACGGTATCTTGAATGGAAAAATCCTGATATATCAGTGTATTATTAAGTATTTTATCATATATTCCTCAAGTCTTACACATTCTTTTCCTATCTCTTCCACACTCCTTATCAGCAAGGACTGAAAGAACACTCCAGTGACAGTGACAGTGACTCAGCTCTTTGTCAGGAAAGGCTGTTAAAATGAATCGGTCCTAAATGTCGTTCCAACCCTGACAGCATCTCTATGCACAAAAGAAATCTCCGACAGCCAGAATGCACCCAGACTCTGAGCCCAGCTTGACTAACGTGAAAACAATGAATACACCGGCAAGCAAACGCGTACATGCAGCTGTATTTATTTATTGTTTTCATATTCTGCTCTGCCTTCAGAAGGTGTCAAACGATTCAGACGATTCGTTTCAGGCCATATAAGGAAGTTCTAACAAACCGGGGTTTATTAAAGCTGCAGTGAGGACAAAAGGCAAAAAGACGCCAAAGGTTTATATTTATAAATATATATGCAAAACTAATATGTTTTACTGAGATACTGCAAGTGATTTTAAACCACTAAAAAGAGATTCTTTATTATGTCTGACAACGTAGACCTGTTAAAAGAAAGACTGCCCCCGGAGGCAAATACAGTATTTATTGACCTTCCTACCTCTATACCTCAAAATATCACCACAAAAATCAAAACAACACAACACTGCAGCACAAATGTAGTATAATTGAGTCCATCCATTGACTTGATTTCACCCGATAATTGGGGAATTCACTAGTGTGAGTCTTTGTAAAACATACAACACCTCATGGTGGCTAATTAACATCTCAATTTCCATTTCTTTTGAAGCGGAAGAGGACAAGTAGAAAGCATCACAATGTTTTTTTTTGTTTTGTTTTTGTTGTCAGGCCTGGGGGATTTCTTGCTGACCACACAAACCACAGTGGTCGGACATGCAGGGGTCAGAGATACAGGCCAAATAAAGACAACAGTCGCTCCTTTGTATTCCTCCTTCACTGCAGTCCTCCAGTGGAGTTAACAAAACCGACACAGGAAGAGTACAGGTACAGCACAGTTCATACCAAGTGCAGAATGTAGAGCTGTGGAATTTTCCAGATAAAAATCAACTCTGAGAACACAGGACAACTGCTAGCAGGAAAGCGCTGCACCTTTCTTTAAAGCCGATTTCTGTCTGAAGAAGCCGTTCTGAAGGCCAGAAAAAAAAACTTTTCTGCTTCAACAAATCAGAAAATCTGGGTCCAGCCTGCCTTAGACAACCTCCCACCACTTTCCTCTTTGTGGCACAGGAGAGATGAGGCTCCATCGCCCACTCAGATTCTCTGGAGACTTTGAGGACTTCCTTTTCCAGCCACTCATTCCTAGATGACCTTTTGTGTACTGGATAAAAATGGCCCAAACTGTATAAGCGACTTACGGTCAAAGTATTTGGCGGTGCGTACATTTACAGACCACTCCTCATTCACAAACAGTCTCTCTACTACTAACAGAAACAAATGAAAAAGGCTGTGTTCACAAATCCCATCTAAATGTGGCTGTTTAGACTGTGTACAAAGGGAAGCAGCGTTCGTGGATTTGACCCAGTTTTTTCTCTGCACCTGTAGGTTTGTTTTTCTCTAATGAACTCCCTGCGGTTACAGCTACAAACGTAGCCCTGGTCTCCATGTCTGCTGCTGTACCACTGCTAACACCACAGAGGGCACTTAAAGTTGAACTACCACTCCACTGTACCAGCAGCATCAGTCAACACCCGGGCGCAAATAAATAAATACAACCAACTCACCAGATATCAAGCCCTGGTCTCCATTGTCCGTCTCACATGAGTGTCCTTGTGATCAGGCTCGGCGACGCCACCTACGTGAAGGCAATAAAATAAATCTTATTAAAAAAAAGAAAGAGCGTTCATTGAAAAACAGTTGTTAAATGTTCTGCCTGTTTTGAATAAATTTCAGAATGAATACAAACATGAACACATTTCTCTACCCAGCAGCTTCTGCTGAGATTTGGATGGTGATGTTTTTAGGGAACGACAGGGAAGAAGCAGTGGCAGCAGGGGAAAAAAACAGAACAGTGCTGGAGTTTGTATGAACGTGTGTCATTGTCATTAATATTTGAAAATTTCATAAAAAAACTCCAATGTGACTTTTTAAATTTGACAAAAAGCCTCTGAGGATCAGGAAATTCATCGAGTTCCTAACAATCTTGGGGATGTGAATAAGTCATTTGAAAATAATTAAATCCATGGCTTTTCTTTGGGCAACTTGACATTTGCAACGGTTGTATTATTGCAAATTATAAAATGTTTAATTATTTATGAAAAATAATAAATTGACTGTAAGCAGCTGCCATTATTATAGGCAGGTATCATGGCTGAGCAGCTTCACTGACAGACAGATTAAGAGGTTTATACTGTATTTATCTTAATGCAGCTTTAGCTTTAAATATAGTATTTCAGGTCATAACATTTATTTATAACAATGATGAATTGTTACACTGCTGGTTACTATGCACACAGTTACATAAGGAGAGGGGTCACTACCAGGGTTATTGACAGCTCTATCTGCAGTGAAGGGGATTCACATGTCATTTGACATTCATTTACACAAAAGCCTTCAAGTATGAAGAAAGAATGAGGATTTTTTTTCTTTGGCGTCGTCTTTAGCTCAACTGTGTATCCATTGGTATTCAAGAAAAGGAGCTTCAGGCTTGTCACCTCAAGCTAGTCATGCAGCCAATGAAGTATTTATGATGCAAGTCTCCACTTCTAAAACATCCTCTCAATCATCTTAGGCTGTAGTCGGAGCTGTCATGTCAGAGTTTAAGAAATAAAGGAGGGGAAACATCGTGAAAGGGTGTAGGTGTCACACATTTTCACGCTTGATCATTTCATGGGGTCTGTTTTTGGAGATGGTGGAAGAACGCGGCAGAAGAATTCTCTGTTGACAGTCCAAGTCACTGTGATGTGGCTGCACACACAATATGACAAAAACATGGGCTAAACAATATAAGTGACCCTCAGTCAGGATGGATAGGTGGTAGAAAATAAAAATATCTAACTATTAAAAACTGCCTTTCATCGGTACGGAAGCTAGGGATAGAGCATGGATAGTAAAGTGACCGACTACTGGAGACATAAATGTCAATCCTGCTGTTAATCAACACAATGATCAGGTTGGAACGATGGATAACAGTCATACAAGCTAAGTCACTGCAGAGCCCTCTAATAACTAGTCACAGTGGGTGAACACCTGTGTACAGGTGGGAGTTAGCATAAGTAACCACAGGACGCTAGGCTGCAGCTGTAGAGTAAGAGGAAGGGGGTGAGGTTGATTCGAGGGAGGAGCTGGCTTGGCAGCTATTTATAAGAACCTTTTTAAGAAAGAAATCCTGCAGACATGAGAGGGAAAAGAAAGTTCCTTGAAAACCAGGAAGTTTTATACCCACTTACAAATGACTGAACATTTGACCTCACCTCTGTCTTTATCTTCATTCCTGACTTGGTATCATCACCTGGACCAGTCTGATAACTGTGGTGTCAGGAGAAGACGAGCTACTCTCACTTAATCTCCAATGAGACTCTGGTTCATTCTATCAAACTGTATCAAAGTCCACTTCCCTCGAACTCTATCTGCTTCTCAGAGCTGCACATCCTCCATTTCCGCCCAGATTGTTCACAGAACGACAAAGACAGAAACAAAAACTTCTGTCTGGCAACCTTGGTCAAAGGACGGACCAACCATTATCCATCAATTGTATTTTCTAGGGAGACAGTTGGCTTCGAGGGATGCCTGCTTTTTGTTACTTTAAATATTTTTGTCATTAAAATTATTATTTTCTATTTTATATCAACATTTCATTTCAAGTCATTTCTAGATTGTGTACAAAAATAATAATAGATAACTGGATTATAGACTCAAATAATTTTGGTGATAAAAGACAGTTAAAAGTTTATTCTGTAGCTGTTGTGTAAAATAATGATGTCATTCAAAAGTGATTTCTTATTCATGAATTAAATGGCCCCTAATTATTAAGATTTTAGAAAACTTAATTAATTTTTTCCATTTTTTTCTTTATGTTTTACTTTTTCCCAGGCTGGTATATGTCTGAACTCAGCGTACTTTAAATGTTTTCTCAGGTAAGATGTATTTCACAGGGCAGTGACAGAAAATGTTTTTCTAAGTGCCAATTCATCAAGCCACAGATCTGATGTCTTCCTCTAACAGCAGAGTCTATTCTTCAAAAACCAAAACAAGGTTTAGCTCATTAGAAAGATAATAAAAAATGAAGCCTTCATTATTAAGCCTGCCTTTATCTGGGAATTCAACTTTCTACCAATCAGCAGCCACTTAATACAGTGCAACTTTTATAGGCCTACTGCCATAGCTCCAGTTAGGGCATTATCTGTCCATACAGAGCAATAAGTCTGCGCCGACTATGAATGTGCTTTAATAAGCACGTTCGTGATTAAAAGTGGATGAGGAGATTTAACCTTTTCTCGGCGAGTGTCAAGATGAGCCCACCTGAGGTATTCTCGTTCAGTTCGGAGATGAGAACACAACAGAGTTGTTGTTTTTATTCATTTTTAAACCAAGCTTTTAAAATTACAATTGACATGGGGAGAAAACAAGGTCAGACTCATCTTTTTAAAGAGCGAGGAAGGAATGAGCTCAATAAAGGCAGTAAACCGAGACAAAAACCCTTCAGGCTTCTCATTACACTGGATCCTGCTGACCATCGGAGGAGACGACGGCACGCCTCGCAGCTCCAATCAATTATAGATCTGAGTGAATGTGCTCAAATATAGAGAAGAAAGTCACCTTTCCAGGTGCTTCATCTTCACATATTGAGTGGAGTAATGGGGATTTATGGGATTATTGTGAGGGGAGAAAACAGCAGTATGGCACATTTGTGTGTTTAACGCGCACACGCCGCACGTACAGTACACAAGGGTTCATTATTTTGAAATTAAGATGCTACAGTTAAAGATGATAGAGCCTGACGTCAAAGTTCTCTCTTCTCCACGGTCAGAGAGAAGAGCAAAGGAGCTGCAGATGCAGACACTGACAGAACCATCGATGTCACTCAGGGGTGTACAGGTCAATCTAATCCTCAGCCAACATCTTATCTTTCCGGAGTTTTCCGTAATTCTCTTCTCATGTCAGCGATTTGATAAATGACTTGATTTACTAACAGGATCGAATACGCCGACAAACAGGAGATCAATCGTACACTGTCGAAGGTTTCACTGAGTTTCCTTCAACTAAATGACCGCCCATGCGTGTGTTAGGATGACACATTCTATCAAATGATAATTGCTGGAATATTCCCAGGCTCACACTCTCTAACTAACATGAGACAGACTGACGGTATTTCACGTAAGCATACAGTAAGCCCCAGAGTTTTTTAAACCCTCTTTTATCAGCTACTGCCTTAAGCCTTAAAACACTTTTTATGTTTTTTTGAAACACACTTCTAATTTTGTCAAACACCTTCACACCACCAAACTACATAGAAGCATGTAAGAAGTCTGACTGAACTGCTGTTGGCTGGATGGAAGTGATGATGACGATGCAGCAGAATTAACACAAATGAACACAATAATTAGCCTTTGCCAAAGAATCAGGGTTAATTAACTGTGGTGTTACTTTATATTTCAAATGTATTAAGTGTTCTGTTCTGGTCTAAACCTAGAATTTGAGTCAAATGAATGAAGAAAATGTCACGCGAGCTCCAGACAGAGATGGGATTTAAAGGCTTGTTGGGTTGAATATTTAGTTTTTCATTACCCTTTGCAAACCTTTGGCTCTAGAGGTCAAGAGTGACTGAGTGGTGTGAGCGTTTGACTGCCACACAATCAATACTGAGGACTGTGCTGCTGCTAACTGGCAGGTTATCCAGGAGACCCTGAGTGAGAGAGCAGCTGGAAAACAATCAGGCAAGATAATATAATATAATATATTAAAACAATTATATGAATGATGAATCAAATAGAATTATGTTGATTGATGGCTTTTGATGAACTAATCTCAAAACGAGCATTTTTCTAAAATCAAAAAACACTATTTGAATTTTCTATTTTTAAATTACGATTATGTGGGGACAATTATAGCTATGGAACTTTTTTTATTTTTTATTTTTTATGCCACATGATCCCATTCTTTGTAGGCTGGCTACACTGTTTGCCTCGGTGTACTGAGTAGCTCAGGCATCTGTGCTTACAAAAACATGTTTGGCATTGAAGTGAAGAAAAAGAAAAAAAATGAACAAAGCAAACAGTGGTCTTTCTGACATCAATCAATGCATTAATAGGGCTGGAGTACAGGCATCAGTGTATATATGTGTGTGTGTGTTTTATTACATATTTAATGATATGTAATCACTGTTGAAGGATTCTAACAGCTTTTGGCCACACTGCCTGGCTGCACAGAACACAGCTGTTGCTAATGAAAACAATCTTGGTGAAAAAATATAGCACAGCTCATGGGCATCGCCGCTTAAAGAATCAGTAAATTGGTCCCTGATCACATCCATTTTAGTCTTTAAATACTAGGCATATGTGTGGGCTTTGATGATGAGAGGTGTCTGAACAATCCTGTCTCATCCTGTGCCTTTGAACTTAATGCTCAGAACATTTGACAGGAAGCAATAGAATATGAAATCAACCTCTGCTTCTATCTGTCTGTCTATCCATCGACTTCAAGTGTAAACGACAGCTACAAATGTACACAGATGTAACTATATTTTATATCTGAAGAGGTCACATGGACTGGTGGACAGTCCTCAGTCCTACAGTACTGTAGAGCGGGGAGGTGTCCACACGTATCTGCTGAAGCTCACAGATCATCTGACATGTT